AGGGCTGAGAAGTTTGTCATGTCATCCATACCTACCCTCCTGCCTGCAGCCTTGTGTAGTTTTTTGGCTTCTGTGGTTTTAACCCATTTTGATTAGCACCATAGTGGGGAAGCCCATTTCGAGGTCTCTTCCAGGGTTTATGACTTGGGTCAAACCCTCTTAAAGAGGGTTCTAGTTTTTTTACGCCAACTGCTTTCACTTTCTTTGGCAGTTCTTTGGCTGGGGCTGGGGGTGGAGGAGGGACTTTAATAACCTTCTGGAGGACCCACAGCAGGCACCAGGTTGACAGCTTGGTAAGAAATGGGTGAGGAGGCCAGGGGTTTTCTCTCCCACGTTAATATACTGCCATTCAATTCAGCGTGGTTTATTTCCATGGTTTCCAAACATTTTTAGCTGTGCAAATTTTGTTCAAGCAAAGCACACATAGAACCCTACTCTGCAAATGTCAAGAGGCCCTGGTTGAAGAGAGGTGGGGGGCCTGGAGTCCTTCCTGCTCTCCACCCTTCTTCCCCATCCCCTAAAACCTCAGAGGGACCCCCTGAAGCCCGTCAAGCACGGTCTCAAAACCCCCGGGGCAGTTTGAAAGGCATGGTTGATGTCAATTCCTGGCTCAACACTCGACTGACCTTCTCCTGGTCCTCTCTTTATCTGTAAATTGGATATCATCATACATACTTCTTATAAATAATAAATTAAGAGCATATAAAATAATACGTCATAAATAAAGTGTGGAGAGAGTCTGACCCAAAGTAGGTGCTCAATAAATGATAGTTTAATACAGCCCTCAAGTGAGCCCCCTTTGCTGGGGCTGGGGGGGACTCAAATGTGAGTGAGAGGTCTTACAAAGCTGGGAGTCTGGTCCCTACTATGGAACAGGACAGAGTAAACATTAGAGATGAGGAAAAAACGTGCCATGGGAAGAGAAGCGGAGGGAGGGAACACTTCTAATCAGGAGGTGTGGTTGAGGCTGCCAGCTGCCCACACAATAGCCTTCTTCCACTTCCCTTGTAATAGAATCCCTGCTTTCCATCTGGGATCACGGTCACCTAGGATAGAAACCACATTTTCCAGCTTCCCTTGTAGCTGGAGGCCATGTGACTAACTTCTGGCCACTGAAATGTAAGCAGAATGGAGCCCTCTTTCAGAGACCGGCACTACCCTCTGCACCCTTTTCCTCCCTACCCACCTCCTGCATTTTGCTGCTGAGAATGTGCGTGGCTGACTGGCTCTTTCTGGTTTTGTTTAGCAATCCAAGAAGGCACTGGATTAAAGGAATCTTTGGAGCATTAAAGAGTTAATGCTCCTACAAAGAATGAATAATTTCATTTTTCTTCAGTGTATCACAAAGGCTCAAAAATGAACTTGAACTGTTGCATCTTGTAGCAGCTTTACTCCAAGGAGGTTGTGTGGCTTTGTGATTTTAAACATCCCACATCCCCATGGGGTCCTGCTGATTATGAAAAACTCTGGTTTCGGGCCAGCCCGGTGGCGCACTACGATAGTGCGCCGCTTGGGAAGCGCGGCGGCGCTCCCGCCGAGGG